TTAATTTCCTCTCTCAAAACAAATTGATATTTACGGTTCAACAATTTTTTACACATATTCTTATGAAATTATTGAATCCGTTAATAAATCAAACTAATCAAGACTCCTTACAAATCAAAGAATTGGAAAGAGTAAGGGCACTAGGAGTCGGACGCAGAAGACGTCGCGCAAATAATACACTTATAAATAATACACTTATAATGAAACTTAATAAATTAGTTTCTATATTCTTTAATTTGACATTTTTAATATTTCCCTTCTTTTTCATTTCCTTTTCTTTCTTTTTATTTAATTCTGGCTGGATAATTAAATTCTCGATGTAGGGGAGCTCACCATACAGGATAACTTTTACTTTATATACGTTAGTGTGTGTTTGCTCTGAGGAAGGCTAAAAAATGAGTCGAAACATGTAAGCGCGTTTGCCGTTTAGTGAATAAAGAAGTTTCATTCTTTATAAGTGTATTATTTGCACGTCTTCTGCGCCCGACTCCTAGTGCCCTTACTCTTTCCAATTCTTTGAAATTATTGAAATTATTCAGAATTTCGAGGGGGGGGGGGGGGGGGGGGGGCCCCCCCCCCCCACAACCCCCCCTTCCCTTGGCTACGCCACTGCACACATTCATATACAAAAAATTTTCACTTTTCACGTTTCCGCCCTAGAGAAAAAGTTACATGACGGCTATCTTGGCTCGTTTGGAAAGAGAATCTGGCATTTAAGTTTATTTTATTGAATGCAGATGGTAACACGTGTAAAAAGACTAATTTATTCTGATGTACATTGTGCGAGAATAATCGCTTCTATGAATGTGATGTACCTATACTATAGTGTTATTTCATATCATAAGCGCGATCTCTCGCATCTGATGTCATAATCCAATATAGTTGCAATAATGAGCCAGAGAAGCTATGAGTTAAAGTAACTATTGCAAGACATCCGTCCCTCCTCAGTGACACCGATTGATGTCGCTTTAACGAGTGTATCCGAAGCATTTCGCATAAAGCGAAAATCCGTTTTATTGGCTACAAAAAGCAGATATGCATGAAAAATATGGGCCTTATAGCGAATTCGGTCGCTTGATTATTCCATACTGATACGCACGAAAGGCATCTAAAAATCTAATAAAGAAACATATACAGAAATATCTGATAATATAGATCAAGATATAAGAGACATGTACTTTTTCATAAGTACTTTTACGCGTGTTAAGAGGATGTAACATTCCCTTGAAAAAGATTGATTTTTATGTGTATATTATTGAAGCAGTAAATGTGAAGATGTTTCAAAACAAAAATTTTGTAATTTTAAAAGCACTTTTTTGAAGATGTATTCAAATTTTTTGAAAATATTATCTCTCTCAATGAAAACTGAGAAATTGTTATATCTCTTAACCTATACAACACGGAAGTTTGATGCAACATTGCAATATTGGAACAATCTGTGTTGTATAGGAAAATACTCCGTTGTTATCGTTTTTGGAAATTAAAAAATGTTTAGACGAAATTAAAGCTTATTTAAAGATAAATTCAACTATATATAAAGAATTCTAAAATTTTTAGAAATGTTAGTGAATGATGAGACACTTTCATATGTTTTTTCGTAAGTACAAAAATATAACGTAAATGTATTTTGGCCGATAAAATATCCAATATATCATTGTGTTATTTAGCAGAAATTATTTCTATACGTTGGCTATTTCGTCGGTTAAAATGCTTATGTTCTGCCGTTGCACCGTATATCTTAAATACAATAGCCTTTATAGTGTGCATTAATGTGGAGTAGTGAAGACAACTAAATTGGTTATTAGATACAAATTGAAAAATCGACTTGGAAATATCCCTAAGTATAGTGCGAGGTGTATACGTTTGTACGTATATTTTTCGCATTTTAATGATCAGCTGATTATAGAAATCATTTATTCAGATTTTTTTTCAATAATTTATTGATTAAATTTTAAAGAAATAATTTTTAAGATTAGAAATATTTCTACAATGACATGGTTACAATATTTCTGTATGTGATTTTGTGAACTTTTTTCGTAGAACTCCTTTTCAAATCAGTATTCGCAAATTCAGTTTGTCAAGAGATATTTAGTAGTATGAACTTAGATACTAATTTTAATAATCAATTTAACATAATTTAATAGTTAAATTCGTAGTTCGCATTGAAAAACAACGTAGAAATGAGAATGTATACATCTTGTGTTAAGTACTTAGACACATATCGATAAGAAATTTTTAATCAACGGAATGTAAATGTATCGAGAGATACCAAACTGTTGATTACATCGACAAAATTTTAACAATAATTGTAGACTGCGAACCCTACGACGTTTTACATTTCCAATTTGCAATTAGCATGGACGATATCCGAAATCGGAAATGATATTGTGTGTAAATAAAAGATTAACGATGTGAAAAGCAACCCCGAGAACTCTACTTGTGAAACATAAACGATGATACGCATGATTTAGCGTATCTATTAGAATTTTTGTGATTGTATATTCGGTATGGAGAATTAAAGTCGTCTGAAATTTCGTTAATTCTAAACGATATATGAAAAACTTGTTGCCAGGATAAAATGTTATTCGGAGTACATGCCTAAGAATATTTAATTCTATGCGTGTTCCGTCTTAATTGTCCAGTGTAAACAGAAAATCCGGAACAATTATACTTCCTGCCTGACTAATGATAGATCACATCAGTATTATGCGTTGCGATCAGAGAGATACCAAAGTGTTTTTGGAATAGTAAATGGATGTGTGATCACAATTAATGTGCTTTTATGTATATTAAATGTTTTCCCTCTTCCAAATGTAATATTCGCTGACATCGTGATATTATCTGATGCAGAGTAATGAAACAAATATAAGATTTATTAAATATTCCATATCTATATATGTGCATAGACCTTGTCTTTGTAATTAAGTATAAGATATATGGAAGCAAGAAAAAAGTAAGTAAGGAAATTGTGACTGTTGGAGAAAAGAAGAAGAGAATTTAAGTATTCCATCTTTATGGTATAATTTTTTACCAAATGCCTAGAGTGTGAAAAATCATATTACTGGTAACCATTCACATTAATCAAAGTTAAATATTAATTTAAATTTTTAAATATATATAAAAGCTACATCTATTATTTTTTATCAATTTTTAAGAATAGAATTCTTATACAAATTCAATTATTATTATAATGGAAAACAACAATAATCCATTAATAAAAAACCACAATTTAGGAAATTCGTTTTTCATTTGAGCTACGTTTATTTTTATTAATAGAGTAGACAAAGGTAGCTATAAAGGTGATCAATTACAGAAATTAAATAGTCAGTTTCAATAAAATATACTTTCTAAGTACAGTACAAATATAATAAAAAAGCAAATTAATTTATATAAATAATCAGTTTTTAGAACATAATTATTAACATATACTTCCCAAGTTTTCAATATATTGATTAAGCAAATGTTTCTTATATTGCAGCCCACTTTTTGCAATCTATAATTTGCAACGAAATTCTGTTTATAATTTAAAATTTTACACATATCTTACAATACATTGAACTTTTAAAGAATTATAATACACACATATATAGAAAATACATATTCAAATACACGCACATGCACACACACAAAAATGTATAGCAAATAAAATAAAAATACAATATTCTATTCTGCGTTCTAATACAAGTTATATATTGTCTCTATATAATCGTGGGCTTACAAAAATATATTTTTAGTGAATGTAACCAAAATGCTTACATATAGCATTAGATATCTTTAATCTTATTTATCTAGTAGGATTGGCAGAATGGTAGGTTTCATTATCTTTAATGTAAATTAGATACAGTCATGTGTGGAAATGTGCTTCATACACGCACGTGAAAAAGAAAAATTAAAATTTCTGCAAATTTTAACTTTTATAAAAGAAATAATCTTATTTCAAAAACTAGATTTAAGTAAATGTCTTCTTTTTTTATAACTTTTCAAGAAAATATCCTTTTCTAAATTTGAGATTATTTTGGATCTATAAAAATCTTACTTTTATTTACACAACTTTCTTCTGTTCAAAATAATCCCAGAAATAATCGTTTAAAATAAAATATTTCTTTATGCATATATATAAATGCATGCATACTCATATGAATAATAATATTCTTTGATTGTTTAAATCCAAATTTTAAAGTAATAACATAATTTAATAAACGAAATAAATGGATAAGAAAGTATTTTATTGGTGAAAATGCTTTAATGACTAGTGGAATAATAAACAATCAGTAGTGCAGTTGATACTCAAAAATTACAATATTTTCAGATGTATACTTTATAGCAGACCCTTGTCTTTTGAGATCTTCGTATGTTTTACGATTGACTACATTGCCAAGCAAATCTTCAAATTCTTCTTTCTGCTCTGGTTGCCAACGCTCGGTTTGTTTCTGCGCTTTCAGTTTTTCCCACAGAGCAAGAGCGTCTTCAATCTGAGTGACATTAGCAAAATGCGCTGTATTCGGAATGCCAAGACAACGCATATCATGTGCATGTCTCCATTCCGCAAAATGTCTTTGGAATGCTTTCGGACCTTTATACGTAAAGTCTCCACAAATCTCACAGTTGTAACTGATATTTAAGCCATGCAGCTTGTACAAAGTAAGGTATAGGCTTTCCGTCCCAACCCAGTGGTAAATTCTTTGGATTGTATGGAACTTCGTTATCGTCTTCTTCTTCCGATTCGCTTGCACTTGCTTCTGCATCAGAATCTCCCCTTTCACCCTCGGTTCTCGCTTGTTTCCTTTGTACGTTTTCTTTCGTAGCCACTCGTTGACTGGATACTAATTCAGCCGAATTCAGCGAGCTTATATAGCCTTGGTCGTGATAAAGCAGTGATAGATAATTTAGGTAACTGCAATAGATGACTAGATAAGTGTTACGTTATGTCTGCTGTAGGTAAATAAGGTCACTGTACTTTTTAGATAACTCGTGTTAATACATTTTATCGACCATGAAAAACGCCAATGTGACGTGTCCGTCTCTCCATCATACGCAATCATACGGATAGTTTGACAGCTCGAAGGGAGTACAAGACAGAACTAGGTTAACAGATTTCTAAGAATTCTGCCCTATATGCGACACCGAGTGCGCGTTCGACGTCTCCCAGGGATCACAGTGGCGTTTACGAGTCACGTAACTTGACTGGCCTCCGGTTCCCGATTGAGTACGAGTACCTGGGTATCGCGTGCGAGGTTAGGTTCCTCGACAGGCCCGCCAAGATGAGCCTACGCGACCGTCAAATAAATGCCCTGAAGCAAATGCTGAATCTGAATCTGCCTGAGCCGGGGCTCGAAAGCGCGGTGCCCACGTGGAAGATCCTCGTTTACGATCGCCTTGGCCAGGATATCATATCGCCGTTAATCTCCGTCAAGGAGCTGCGCGAGCTTGGCATCACTTTACACATGCAGCTGCATTCGGACCGTGACTCCATCCCCGAGGTACCGGCGATCTACTTCTGTGCGCCCACGGACGAGAATCTTGGCAGGATCGGCCAGGATCTGCAGAACGGCTTGTATGATATCTATCATCTGAATTTCATTTCACCAATTAGCCGACAGAGAATGGAAGACCTGGCGACTGCGGCGTTGCTCGGCGGCGTCGTCGCCAGCATTCACAAGGTGTTCGATCAGTACTTGAACTTCATCACCCTGGAGGATGATCTGTTTGTCCTGCGACATCAGAACAGCGATGCGATATCCTACCATGCGATCAATCGTGGTGACGTCAAAGACAGCGAAATGGAATCTGTGATGGATATTATTGTAGACTGTTTGTTTTCAGTGTTTGTCACTTTGGGCACTGTGCCGATCATAAGGTGTCCCAGGGGTAATGCTGCCGAGATGGTTGCCAAGATGATCGACAAGAAACTGCGAGAGAACGTATGGGATGCTAGGAACAACCTGTTCGAGGGTGAAGCATCTGCGACCGGCCATTACAGTTTCCAGAGGCCTCTGCTCATCGTGCTGGACCGTAACGTCGACATGGCTACCCCGCTGCATCACACGTGGATGTACCAGGCACTGGCACATGATGTTCTGGAGATGGCGTTGAATAGGCTTGTTGTAGAGGAGAATGTAGGACGATCTCCCGCTGGCGGGACACGCTCCAAGACACGCGCTTACGAGCTGGACAACCGGGATCGCTTCTGGTGCCAGCACAAAGGCAGTCCATTCCCCAGAGTGGCAGAGGCCATACAGGAGGAGCTGGAGCAGTACCGTACTTTCGAGGAGGACGTGAAGAAGCTCAAATTCTCTATGGGCATTGACAATGAGAGCGAGGTAGCGTTGTCTATGGTATCCAATAACACGGCGCGTTTAACGAACGCCGTGAATTCGTTGCCGCAACTCCTGGAGATGAAGCGGCTGATCGATATGCACACTTCAGTGGCCACAGGTATCTTGAATGCTATCAAGTCTAGACGACTCGATACATTCTTCGAGCTGGAGGAGAAAATTATGAGCAAGCAAACGTTGGACCGGAGCGTATTGGAAACCATCGGCGATCCAGACTGCGGCACTCCTGAAGACAAACTACGTCTTGCTATTATTTATTTTATTTGCACGAATATGTCCGACGCGGATTACAATAAATTGGAGACGGCACTAACCGCAGCCGGCTGCGATCTGAATCCACTGATATACGTAAAGCGATTACGCAATTACACTAGGATAGCCGAGATCCAGAGTAGCTACGAAGGCGGCGGTACCAAGACGGTCAGTATGTTCTCTAAGCTGATGAATCAAGGCTCGTCATTCGTCATGGAGGGCGTGAAGAATCTGGTGGTAAAGAAGCACAATCTGCCAGTCACCAAGATAGTGGATGAGCTGATGGAATCTAAGCAGTCCTCGCGTACCGAGGATTACCTCTATCTGGATCCGAAGCAGCTCAAGCACACCGAACAGATGCCGAAGAATCGGCCGACGTTCCAGGACGTGATAGTCTTCGTGGTTGGCGGCGGTAATTACATAGAGTACCAGAATCTGGTGGACTATGTGAAGCAACGAAGCGGAGCAGGGGTGAACAAACGAGTGATCTACGGCTCCACGACCTTCAACAACGCTAAGCAATTGCTCAAGCAACTTTCTCTGCTCGGTCAGGAAGTCCACTCGTGAACGGATATGCTTTGATCATTCTCGCCAACCCCCCTTCCGTTCATCTCTCTTTCACCCGCGCGATATTTAATAACTATGCATTTTTTTTTAATAAGGTCGTTGTTAGCTCTTGTATAAAGTGTACGATATAAATAAAATCCGGTTCGTTATTTTCAACAATGCTTCTCCTACCATCGACTTTCCTTTCCACTACGCGTCTACACCGTCTATACCACGTGTTTCTTGTCTCTTTCTTGCGCCTATGTATGCGCGACTGCATTCAATTTGTTTGATCGATCAGTCGTGCATGGCAAACATGTGCTTCCTTTCACGACATTTTTTTAAAAGCCTATAGACACTCTCGTATTGACACGTTTATTGAAAAATTGCGGTTAATAAAGGAACGTTTTGAAAAGAAAAAAAAATGGCTATGGCGCAAGATGAGTCGAGAAATCTCGTGCAAAGAGCTGTTATCCCGACCGATTCGCAGAAAGCAGTTTCGGAGTACTTTATATCCAAGCAAGAGGAACGTCAGTCTATCAAGTAACGCAATTAAAAAATAGTTATAAATGTAGTAATATAAGGTATTTTTAATTATTCCTTATCAAAACACCATCTGTTTATCAATAATTAAAAGACATAATAAATAATAGTTCGAAGATATGTAAGGAATGTAAAAATTGACAATCCACTGTATTATATAACAATCGATGAGAATATGAAGCGCGCGCGGACAGTACAATAAAATTATCTATTCTCACGTTAATTTTATTAATAACAAAAAAATTATATTTTTAATAAATTTTCAAATAAATATAATTTGTTATGTTTCGTTATTTATTATATTTATAAATTACATTTTTGTCGTTATCTATAACAATATCAGAAAATATCCAGAATGGGACAAGGCGAGGGTTTGCCCGGCAACGGAGGTGGTCAGGACTCGTCGAGAATTAGCTGAGATTAATGAAATATTGAAGGAGAAACGAGAGGAACAGAAAATAAAACGTAAATACATGGATGAGCAATGGGAGGAGGCGAGAGAGCAGCAATTGCAGTTACGGCAGTCTCTCATAAAGTTTAATACGCTCGTAAAGGAGAACGTCGAGAAGTGCGAGCGAGCTGATCAGAAGATCAAGGAGGAACACGAGCGTCAGGAAAAATACAAGCGAGAAGTACGCAGTTAACGAAGGAAAGAAAGCTCCGAAGTGGACCTCGTGATCTTAAATTTCAGTCGAGCGGCTTATATTTACAATTAAAATCAAGAAGAATTTCATATATCGATCGTAACTGATATATTTTTTATTAGATCGAGGAATTGGAGCAGAAATTGCAATATATGAGAGACGTACGTGATAAAATGCAGCGATTCGTAGGGGAATACAGGAAGTACCAAAATTACTTGGACAGGGTCGTGAGCGAGACGGGCGAGTTTCAATCGATTAACGAAATTTTTAATCGCTACGAAACTTTAGTCGAGGCCAGGCAGGCGTTGTCTGATCATCAAGATAAAAACCTTCAGATGCTAGAAGAAAAAGCAACAAAAATAGTATTGTTCGAATAATCATCTATCTTATATGCCTCATCATGATTTTATAAATTCTCACATACACATTATTCTATTATGAATTATTTAATTTAATCGCCTTATCTTTGCATTAAGGTTTCGCTCACAATGAAAGAAATATATTAGAAACGAAATAAATATTAAATTTTTAGAAAAATAAAAAAATTAGAAATAGAGATTAAATTTAACACATAATAGATTTAAATAAAATATGAGGTATATTATATTAGGAACAGGAATAAATATTAAATATATATATATATATATTAGAGAAATAAAATAATTAGAAATAAAGATTAAATGTAACAACAGCAGATATAAATAAACTTATTTATATTTATTGCGCGTTACGTTTAATTTTTATTCCTAATTTTTTATTTTTCTAATATTTAATAATTCTTATTCTTATAATACTTCTTCCATTGTGCAGTTCCTAAATATAATTGACACGTACTATATCGCAATAACGTGCTCTATCAATTTTCGCAAGCACTTTTTTTCATATATCTTTTATTGAAATATCTCTTTATGTTTTATTTTATCACGTGTTCTATACATGTTTACATCTGCCATTTCTTTGCACGATTTTCACTCGAATTCTGTTCGTATAAATCTCTTTTATGAATTTAATATCTCTTAGCTTTCAAATATCCGTTTCCAAACGTTATATTTTCTCCTGCCATCTTTTCTCCCAATAGAAAAAAAAGAATCGAAAAGCCGAGAGTTATAGAGATAATTTTCTTTATACGTGCAGCACCACTTGACAGAAACCAAAATGCAAGTATTGATGGGACTGAATAATAAATTGGCGCAATTGCAAGAAAGATATGATCGAGCGAAAACGGAGGCTTTGAAATGGGAGACGATCGTTTCGAAAATAAAGGAAACCGCCGCGGCGAAAAACTTGGAGCTTACGCAAGTGAAGGCGTGCTGCTGGAACATCTATCAGCAGATTTGCAAGAGGAAAGAGATACCCGTCAAGGTGAGCAGCGAGGACGTCGAGCAACAGCTGATTCACATCAAGCGCACCATCCTTGAATTGAAGCAAATTATCAAGACCGTCAAGAAGAAGGCACGGGAAGAGAAAGGTCTGCCGCACGAATAGAGGTATCTATCATCCCATTACCGCGACTGATTGCGATTCTGCGGTGTAGTAAAGCTAGCGAATGAATGAAACACTGCCGTTTGGTAACGAAAAATTTCAAGTTGTATCACCTTCATAAAAAAAACTAATGTTTTTTTTAAATATATATATATATCTGAAAGTAAAATTAATTAAAATAAATAAATACAATTCACAAAAATTAATTCGTAAAATTATTATTTTCTTGGTGTCGCTATTGCGTTTGCAGCAATTTGGCGATTCCCTAATTGGCTGAATCCTCGTAAGCTGCACACGAACGTCGTTAGAACGCTAACAAAAAGTCACGTCGCAAATCCATGAAGAAAATGCGCCATCGTTAATTCCATTTATTGATAACGCCTTTGAATAATCTTCCTAGCCGCCGGTAAGTGACAGCCAGACACGTTGTGAAGCAGCTCTGTGTAATCCTCCATGAGTCGTTCTTGCAGCTTCTGCACGGCTTCGGCACGTGTCAGCGGTACTTCCAAACCCTCCGAGACAAACTGCATCTGTTCTTGTTCCACGCAGCTGCATTCGAGGACGTTAAAGTAGTCAGATGAAAGTTGATACATGGCCCGGATATCCTCGACGTGTGTTTAACGCCGATTATAATCGATTAATAAAATCTTTCCCTAATTATCACACTGATTAGACATCTATACTGATTAAATATTGTATGTACTGTAAGTGTCTGTTTCTAATTCGTGTTTTGATAGAAAAAGAACTGATCTATTTTAAGTATCAAACGGAAATTAGGTTATCACGTTCAGGGCTAAACGTTCGAAATGTTAGAAAATCTCGAGGATACTCGATAGATCGGAAGGACACGGGTTCAAGGGTGGGATAAAGGAACATGAGAGGGTAACAAATAAGACTCACAGGACACAAGGTTGGGTGGATACGATGCGATTGAGAACGGGCACTTTTAGCTTGGGCTTCTTCTCCTCATCCAGCCGCAAATGCGGAACTTTGCTTTCCTTGTCCACCCAATAGACCTTGTGGAACATCTCTGTGATTCGTTTCTCAATAATACCCAAGTAGAGCATGACGTTGCTCATGGTAACGTGAGTATTGTCGCCCAATAATTCTAAAATCGGTGAATTGTCGCAGCGTATCGCCTTGAAAAGGCCGTCGATCCCTTGCAGCAGCTTGTCCATCACGTCGTTGCACTGGAATGAAACATGAGTAATCGTTTATTATTCATACGGGCTGCGGTTTACTGAGTCGCTATGCGGATATCAAAATTCGTTTTATTAGGATCAAGGGTAATGCTCAAGAATCACGAGATAATCCTTGAAAACCGCAGCATTAATTTGCTAATGACGATGATGAGAATGGCATTTTATTATTAATCAACACTGTCAGATATCAAAAGAGTAACTAACCCAATCCCTTAAGTCAAATAACATTTTGTTACTTTTAATTTCAATGTATGTTAAAATGCAAAGCAATTCATTTCTGTGGTTAGTTTCAAAATATATAACATCCATATTAACATAAGCACTTACATTAGTAAATAATATTTAAATTAAATTTGAATCAAATTTAATAATGTTCTTGAATTAAACCATTTAACTTCATTGTTTTAGCTAAATTAACGTCATATTGGGTAGGAACAGGCGACTTATAAAAATGATCAAAAATAACTCTAATTGGATATTTTGACATTATAAATTTAAGCGAACGATAATATTTTTCGTTCTAAATTCAAGTTTCAGAAAAATAATCCCTGCAGCACGAAGTTTCCAGCAAGTTTCGAACAATTTTCTCTTTTAACCTTAGCAAGATTCTCTTCAGCAGTGTCCGCCAGTGCTGTTTGTTCCTCCAATTCCTTGGTGATCTTCTCCAAATTCTCAGCTTGCTCTTGATCGCGATGAACATTCAGGGCACGTGCCTCATCGATAGCCACTGTCAGCTGCTCCATCCTCGTCTGAAGACTCTCTAGCTCATCGTTCAGCTCGTTCACATAGCTAAAGAGTGCGAAATTCTCCTCTTCTTGCTTGATGAAGTGCGCGGTAAGCTTGTCGATTTCTTGCTCTCCTGTTTATTTATGGCCGCATTAATCGGAATCAAGATTTTAGATCAATAATACAAGTTATCAAATATAAAGTTTGGATATTGTGTAAGTATTACCCCGCTATTACTGATTAATATAATTTTAATCTAAGGATTAAACTTTGTTTAAAGTTCATTCTAAAAATTTCATGTCGATTTGAACTCTTAATTAGCTGGGCTTTAATAAATTTCATCTTACAATTAGTATAATACCAGATTGACATACACCTACGTCTTCAATTGTAAGACACGTAGAAAACTAGGGCAAGTTTAAGA